GGCCCTGTGGCCAGCACAGGCTGTTGCTGACTGACCCCAGTCTGCAGAGTCAAGCCTCTCCCCTCTGTCCTGCCCAGCTTTCCGCATCCAGGCAGTCTTCCCACAGCCACCTCTGACGAGATCTCACTAGTGAGAGGACGTCCCAGCACCAAGGCAAGGGACAGTGAGTGTGTCAGGAGGAGTGCCCCTACAATGGCTCGGCAGCTCCAAGTTCTTCTATCAGAGCTTCATCCTCACAGTAGTCCCAGCATTTCATAGATGAGGAAACTGAGGAGCGATGACTGTCCGAGGCGGTAACAGTAAACCCCAGACTCCTTGGGTGCGACCAGGGACATCTGCCCCTTCGCGTCACAAGGAGAACTTTGGTGGAGAATCAGGAGTGAGGGACCTCGGCCCTCGATTAACCAGGCTCAGGCTTCTCTCCACTCCTCAGCTCACCCTGGCCGCTGGCCTCAGAATGTTGTTCCAGGAGCTGGTCCTTGTCTGGCCACTACAGGCATTGGCAGCTGGCAGTCATGTTCAGGGTAAACACCCTAGACTCACAGGCCAGCAAGCTAGAAGCCCCTTAAGAATGAACCATCAGGTCCCCTCCTGTGGTAAGGAAGCTGAGGCTGGGGCAAAGTCCACATTATGGTGTTGAGTATATTTGGACCTCTCTGAGCAGGAGCTTTCTTTTTGCAAATGGTTAAGAAATGACCACCCTGGGGGCAGCATCCAGCTGCCTGATGACTGACACACTTGTTACAAATCACGTTTCCTGCCACCAAGCAGCAAGATTCCTGCCATTGTACAGGCTTCTGACGGGAATCATCTGCTCAGTGTTATTTATATAAATGAATGTGCAAACCCCAGCCTCCTCAAAGGTGCTGTCTCGTTGGTGAGCAGGCCCGGGAGTGAGGCGGCATTGGAGCCCTAGGCTGGCATCACAGGCAACGTATGCGGATGCCTTTCTGCCCCTGACCACTGCTGCATTGGCAGCTGAAGAGGTAAAGGTGAGCAGGGCTTCTTGCCAGAGAAGATGTTGTGGTAGTTGGGAAAATGGGGTTTCAGTTGTGCCCTGGCAAGTCAGTCCTTCCTGGGGCTTTGGGCCCCATGTGAAACAGGAAGCCCTCCCCCTTGCAATGGAGTCAGGGTTTCCAGAGGCAGCTCCTCTTACTCTAGGGTCTGAAGAGAGGGTGTTTGTGTCAAGCTTATGGGGGAAGTCACTGCAGGACCAAGGGGTGAAGCAGGTGGGCCATGTGAGGATGGCACACATCCTTGTCACATCACCTTCAGGTGTGAAGGTAAAATCCCACCCATGCCAGAGGGGCCAGGAAGGAATATGGAGCCATAGCTGGCAAGTGCCACAGGCCATGCACACCCACCAAGGGCAGGAGGTGCCTGGGGAGCCCCCAAAGGCCAGACTAGTGCAGGGGACACAGCAGACGTGCTGCAGGAGAATGGGCAAGAGCTTCTGGGAAGAAGGAGCCTTGAGCAAGGCCCTGCAGGGAGAGCAGAACATGAACAGTTCAGGGGCCCTAAAGGCCAGATGGGAACATGCCAGGGCTCCCTCCCATACTCTCACTTGTGCTCTTCACACAGTTTTCAGAGTTACAGCCTAAAATAGCACAGCTCCTCTTTCAATGGTTGTGATTTGAGGTATCAGGATGCTGCTTTGCCCACCTGTCTGCACTTGGGGCTGCCAGAGCGCAGGTACCACTGTGACACAGAATCCCAAGACTGCCAGGCACCCATGGGCAGGCAAGGGGGGCTAGGCTGGGCACAGGGTCAGAGAGTAAGATCAAGGCTCCTGGCCTAGCACCACCCCTCCCATCATCTACCCTTGACCTTCTGGACCCAGGAGCACCTCTGGGTTCAGGCTTCTCTTGTCAGCTTTGGCTGTCAAGGTCCTAACTCTGTGACCACCTATGGTTCCTCAGCCTCCCCCGCCCCTGCTCCCATCCCCTACCTCTGAGAGCTACAGGCCTCTGGTCTGGAGACAAATTCTGGGCACAACGCCTGTCTTGCTTGCTGGACCATTAGACACGTGGAGAGAGTTTGTGCCAGCGCCATGCTGTCCCCACTGGGCTTCTAGTCAGCCTTCCCAATATGCAGAGATCCCAGGGTGAACACCTACATGGACCTCCTGGCTTTACCACCTGGTGGTGTAGAGCCACATACAGTCAGAGCTCAGCCAGCATCAGAAATGCTAAAACAGGCCAGGTGGCTAACTTGAGTGCTTCCCATGCCCTCTGAGCCTGTAACCCTGGTCAGTGCCTCCCACAGGCTCTCCTGAATGCTGTCAGCAGAGCCCAGCTGAGAAGTGAGACTGGGGGGCCAGATGTCTACACAAATAGAGGTTTTGCTATTCTTTGAGATCTGTCATCTCCTAGGCATCTATTAGCCACTGTGGATCCCCATGGTTTGTCCTAAGGAATAGAGAGAAAACCAGAACACCTGAGCCTCCAAAATGCCAGCAAAGCAAGGGGAGCACCAGGTGTGAGTATGGGCCTGAGACCAGGGAGGGTCCTGTGCTCAGGAGTTAACTGTCTTCACAAGGCTCCCACAGCACTTGGGATCCTGTGCCATCAAGCAACATGCCCTACCTCCTCTGCCTTCTGGCTGCCCTGTCAGATAAATGAGTTCCCATGATCTCCAAGTCAGGAACACAAGACCCAGGGAATTGTAGGTCCCCAAAGTCCACCGAGAGGTATCAGCAGGGAGCTGTTCAGACAGGGTAGAAGGGGCTCCTGGTGCATAGGGACAGCTTGGGCAACTCATGGGGCTGAAGTCATGGGGCTGAAGTCAGGAGCAAGAAGAGTGACTGAGATGGCCTTGGGGACAGGAGTGTCCATGTGAATCTGTCAGCCCCTCCCACTGCCATGTTATACTTGCCCCACTTGGGCTGGGACATGCAGGCCTGGCAGAGAACTGATGGGCTATACACCAGCACTGTCTCAGTGTCTTTGAGGCAGCCTTATTGCCCCTTTTCTTCCTGGATTCCACTGCCTGCCCACTCTGGTTGCTCCCCTGCCCTTGAACCCCAGGTTCATACTTACTGGTAGCCAGATCATTCCCCTCTCAGGCCCCCACCCCACCCTGGAAGGACCCTGCCATCCATGCCTCCTGTTTCCAGTCTTATGTCACCTGGCATGAGAGCTGGTGACTGGGCTCAGGGCATGCTGGCAAGTGTTTGCTCAATGAATTAATGAGTACGTGCTTATGGCCATACCTACTATTTATCTGATGCAAAATTTGGGGTCAGAAGCACAGCCCCCAATTATGACATCATTTCTATGAGAAATGACAGCTCTGTTACCACAGTCATTTTTCCGATGTGGCTTCCAGGAATCCATTAGCACTAATTACTCCTGCAGCAGAATGTGACATTCCTAGACCACCACTTAACTTGCATTTGGGAGCATATGGCCGGGTTCACCATGGAGGTGCTGGCTCCTCTATGCCCTGCTGGGGATGGGATCTTGCAATTTGCTTGACTCTGGAGAAGGGTCAACACTCTCCTCCCCCAGACCTGAGACTACTCACATTTCAGAGTTTCTGTAATTCCTAAGCTTATTCTAAAGAAGGAGCAAAATTGGTTTGGAAAAACAGCTCCAGATGGAGCTCAGGGTCTCAGGGTAATGATAGGTACTTCTGGGTATCCTTCCTTCTCCTATACCTGATCCCTTCTCAGCACAGTCACTGACAGAGCCACTGCCTCAGCACCAAGGGCCTCTGGAGACTGGGGGATTTCTATGTGGCATCCTCCCAGGCACCGATACCCTAGGGTGACCTCCCTTGGATCCACCCTGCAGAAGCAGCAAGCCGGAGCTCTTGGCCATGGGATGTGGAGCAATTTCCTGCCTCTTTAAGCCTCAGTTTCTCTATCTGTAAAATGGGAATAGGAAGGTGTGAGAACAGACTGGAACCTCATGTCCAGCTGTTGCAAACTATTTGCAGTTGCCACTGTCATTACCATGATCATTGGTGATATAATCTGGTCAGAAAACTTCTTAAATCTGAAGCCTCGGATCTAAACCAGACTGGTTCCAGACTTTGTCTGGACACAGCTCGTTCAGTTTGTCTTGAAAGGAGGGGCAGCTTCTGCCAGCAGCTAACCCAGGTAACAGTTATGGGTAGTTACACCTTTTAGAGTTAGAGTTGTCAGTTTTATGGGGTACTGGTGGGTTGGGTAATTAGACAGAAGCATCATGCTTCTTAGAAACCCCAAGTTATTATAACGCTTTCAGTGTACTCAGAAAATTAAAGGGTGGCCGGGTGTCACACTCTCTTATGGTCACTACCACCCCTGGGACACCACCATCCTGTCCTCTGCATGTACCAAGCACCTGCTCTGTCTCAGCCACCGGGCGGTGGAGGTAGGATCCTGCCTTGGCAAACAGACAGAGCCAGATGCCCCATAGCAATTCGTGGGACTCGCCCAGCTGGGAGGGTGGGGAGGAGCCTGGCCCTGGCCTAGCATTTCCTTCCCTGATCTGATGAACCAAAGGGTGCAGCTACAGAAGTGAAGACTACCAGGCTACCCCCTCACAGACTCTGGCTGAGGACTGATGGTTCCACATAGCAGGATCACAGTTTTCTAGGACTAGGCCAAAACCCAGATAGGGCAGAAGACTGCCCACACTTATATTAAGGGAGCTGTGATCTGATAGCTCATATGGAAATATGGGCCTTTGATTGCAGGTGTGGGGCAGGCTGGGGATGGATGTTGGGAAGGTCATGGGGTCCTCAGGGGAAGGCAGAGGAGGCTGCACTTGGCAGAGCTGGTGCCCAGAGGAGGGACCCAAAAACACAGGAGAGCCTTTTCCAAACATGTGCCAGCTATTCCTGTGGGTGGTGGGTGGAAACATTTGGCCTGGTAGGGGAAGGCCTCCTCGATAAATGTCCTAGGGCCATCCTTGGGCTAGACACATAGGCAAGAGGCTTCCTCCAGCAGGGCTGCGGGTCTGGGGTCTGTCTACTGCGTGCCTGATTAACGCCAGCACTTTCCTTCCTCCCAGAGTCGGATGGCAGAGAGCCTGCGCCTTTTTGACTCCATCTGCAACAACAACTGGTTCATCAACACTTCGCTCATCCTCTTCCTGAACAAGAAGGACCTGCTGGCAGAGAAGATCCGGCGCATCCCGCTCACCGTCTGCTTCCCTGAATACAAGGGCCAGAACACATATGAGGAGGCTGCCGTCTACATCCAGCGGCAGTTTGAGGACCTGAACCGCAACAAGGAGACCAAGGAGATCTACTCCCACTTCACCTGTGCCACCGACACTAGTAACATCCAGTTTGTCTTTGATGCGGTAACAGATGTCATCATTCAGAACAATCTCAAGTACATCGGCCTTTGCTGAGGAGTCAGGCCCCGGCTCACTTGCCTGTGGTGAAACCTACAGGGCATCATGCCCCACACGTGCTAGAGAGGCCCAACCCGGGCGGCCAGAAAACAGGGGGCCTAAAGAATGTCCCCTGCCCCTTGGCCTCCACCTCCTTGGCCCCACGTTTCCACAAGCATAAATATATATGGATAGATTGCTAGGTAGACACACACACACACACGCACACACATGTACATGTCTGAAGATGGCAAAGTCCTCCAAAGCGTCAAGGTCTCATGAAGTCTTGTGAGGCTGTCAGGTCACTACAAGCCCATTCTGCCCCTTCACTTTGCCTTCCTGAGTTGGCCCCACTCCACTTGGGGTTTGCGTTGGCCTGCTGGGGAGAGGCGGCAGGGCTGGGACCGGACTGGACCAGCTGTGCTCCCTGTCACCTAGAAGAGGGGCAGCTCACTAGGGACCTGCTGACTGGGAGGGCCAGTGTGAGGTTTGCGCACCTTCCCTGCTGGCCTGCACACACTGCTCTGCACCACGTTCATTTGGACCCGGGACCTTAGGAGCCAGGTGACAGCACTAACCAGACCTCCAGCCACTCACAGCTCTTTTTAAACAGCTTCTAAATATGCAGCAAAAACCAACACAATAAAATGAGTGGCACGATTTATTTTAAACTAGGCCAGCTGGGATACCAGTTTTTCTTCTACTAGTCTGATGTTTTATAAATCAAAACCTGGTATTTCCTTCTCTGACATCCTTTTTTTGGCCAGGTTTCGTGGTGTTTCGCAGAAAAACAAAAATACAGAAAATTTCAAATGCAGTTGAGTATTCTTTTTTAAATGCAGATTTTCAAAACATATTTTTTTTCAGGTGGTCTTTTTTGTGTCTGGCTTGCTGAGTGTAAAAGTTGTTATCTAGAAGATTCTGTCCCTCTGCTCCAAAGAAATTCTGGGGTGAGTGGCAGTCCTGTGCCAGCCTCGCGGGACACATGTTGTACATAAGCCTCTGCAGTGTCCTCTTGTTATTGGTGCGGTTTTCTGCTTTGTTTTTATTTAAGAAAATAAACGTGATGTATTTAAAGAAGGTTCTTCACCTAGGAGCAAATGAACAATAGCTAAAATGTCTTGGTATTTAAAGAGTAAATTATTTGTGGCTTTACCGAGTGAAGGAAGGGAAGTGAGAGATGGTGCCCTGGTCCCCCACCCCCCTCCCATGCCTGAGATGGGCTGGGAGCGGCTCAGACTCCTGTGAAGGCACAGCTGGTGTGGCCTGAGGGAGGCCTTGCTGGGACCATTTGGGCCTTCCTGCCCCAGGGCCCATGGCACCCCTGTGAAGGACCTCTGAGAGCCACGTGTAAATAGGAACCCTGCAGCGAAGAAGGGAGCCGCCACCAGAGCCCTTGCCAAGTCTCCTCTCTTACCCTTTGTTCTGTGCCCGTGTGTCCAAAGTCAGTATGCAGGATCACAGCCAGCGACTTTAAGAGATGTACAGAGGGCAAGAGAGGAGCTGGTGATCATATGGAAGTCAAAGATTGTCTACTTTAAGAAAATAAAATACCCTGAATGGAGACCAGCCTTGTCCCCGTGTGCTATGTGCATGGCTGACGTGTGGCTGGACTCAGTAACATCTGGAGGGCAGACAGGGATGTCTTCCACGCTGAGGTTCCTTTTTCTACCCTCTACCCCTGTACCTCCATACAATAAGGTAAAATAATTTTGCAATGAACATCAAGAATAAACAACCTCAAGAGCGAAAAGAAACTGCAGAAGAGCGGAGACCTGCCAGGACTGTGTGGCCGAGGGGTAAAGGTCTAGGGATGATGATGGTTCCTGCCCCTCTTACGGCTCCAAGTCCCTAGCCAGCACTGGCCAAGGCTGTTCTGTCCCCTGGACCCCTCACACCTATGGTCACACCTTTGTCAGGGTCAGGATCATCCCAGAGGACGGAAGAGATTCCCCCAAGAGCCTAGAGAGTGCCTGTGTCCCCAGTAGTATAGGACAGACCCTGTGGAGTGCTGGTCGGGGAGAAGGGGTCCCCAAGTACACACTGCTTGCTGGCTGAATGGAGTGGTTAGAGGCATCTGGACGTAGTGGCAAAGTGCTGATCAGAAGTCAAGGAAGTGTGTTCACCGAGTGCCTGCCACAAGCTACACACCCAACCAGGCTTCTTACAGAATTATCATGTGTGATACTCTCCGACTCAGCGGTTGCCAGTGGTGCCTGTTTTACAGATGATGGAAGGTGCCCAAGGTCAGGGAGCCATCGAACCAGGATGTACTGATCCAAGGAACTGTCCTATGCCCCTGGAAGATCAGAGGCGGGCCCAGTGCCTTCCGGCCTGGTCCTTGCTGGCTCTGCTGCTGGGTGGCTCTGCCCTTGGATGGGGCAGAAGCCCACAGGGAGCACCTTGCAGCCTCCTCAAAGCAGTACCCCAAGCACAGCCTGAGTGGGGGGCAGCAGACACGCATGCACACAAACACATGCACACACACACAGATACACACACACACACACACACACACACACACACACACACACATATGGCCTGGGCTCCCTCACCACCCATTCCCACTCCTGAGCCCACGCAGGGATTCCCTTCACACCTTCCCACGTCACCAAACAGCAAGAACCCAAAGGGGCTTTTGTTTCAGAAGAAATAATGTGTGACTTAAAATCATTGAGACTTATTTTGTGCTTTTAATGCCAACTGTGAAAAGAGCAGTCATTTCACCATGAGCATCTTTAACCTAAAAATACCCAGCTAAAGGGAAAAACAGATTCTGCCTCCCTTCCTGATATGTGCAAGGATCAGAAAAGGCCCTCCCTGGAAGGTGCTTCCTCTGGTTCCCAGAGCCCAGTCAGGAGTCTCCACAGTTCATCTGTGTGGGTCCTTCCTCCCCTAGCCTGCCGTGTTCTCCTTCTTGCTCCCACTGATCCCTTTGCCTGATGTACCCTTCCCCACCTCACAGCTCAAAGCTGCCTGGGTGTCTCATCGGAACCCCCCTCTTTCCCCACACTTTACCTGCTAGCATACTACAGGGTACAGTAGGAAGGGTGTTGGCAATCTCCACTGAGCAGCTAAGGGCCAGGCACCTTGACCCACCTTCTTCCTCCAAGTGCCTGTTGGAGGAGGCACATGCTGAGCTGCGATGGTCCAGAAGAGATGGGGGTTAGAGGAGACAGTGAGTGCAGGACTCCCAGAGAGAGCCAGTGGGAGGAGAGAAGGCCTGAGTTGGCAGCAGGGTGACCGAAGGGTAAGAGCTGGGGACAGCGGACTGATTGCCTCTGTAGGTAACTAACTTCAGCCTGGTCCCATGCAGCCCCAGCCTCCTCGCAGCTCCTCCTGGGGTACTGCCATTCTCCTTTGTAGTCATGTGGTCACCCAGGTGGTACAGTGGGGCAGTGACAGTGGCCACCATAATTCAGCTCCTTTCAGTGGCTGCCTACTGGGAACCACACTCCTGGGAAGTCAAGATAATGGATTCTGTTCTACAGGAGAGGAAGCAGAGAACCTGAGAGAGGATGACATCCCAACATCACATGACAGGTGGTGACAAGTGCCCCAACCTGAGGGGCTTTGCTTTATCTGTCAACACTGCCTAGAACCCCACAGCAGACATACCAGGCCCTGGCACCCTCCTTCCAATGCTGCCATCCAGGGCAAACAGGCAGGGGGTATGGGTCCAGCTGGCTTGGGGAACAGTGCCAGGAAGGGCTGCACTGTACCACAAGGATGAGGGCCACAGAGAGGCTGACCACAGCCTGGGGTCTCACCTCACTGAAGACGCCCCTGACAAGTGCTCCCAGTGTTGAGGCAGGGCCTAAGCCAGATGCCAACTGGCTCAGCCCAGCACATGCCCCCAGAAAGACGTGACAGACCCCTTTGGTAATTTTATTTGTAATGGGCTATCCCAAACTGCTTGGGAATATTATGAAGACCTTGTAGGGAAGGCTGTGAAAGGCTGCCTGCCCAGACAGCCCAAGGATAGCTGCTGAGAAAGACAAGGAAAGGCTACCTCCTGCCGGAGGGGAGGTGGATGGGAGCAAAGAGGAGAGGGGGTATCCAGGAGGCACAGCAGGCTGGGAACTGAGTAAGCAGAGTATCCCCATTGGCAGGCATCATTTCTGCTAAGTCCAGGGAGAAGGTACAACTGCCCACCAAAGACTGTCAGGCAGAGGATGTGCCTGGAGCCCTGGTGCACCCCACCCTTACAGGTGAAAAAGGAAAGGCCCTGCCCCTCTGAGGCAGCCCCCTTCCCCGCCCCGCCCAGTGATGTCAGGGCTAGAAGGAGCAGGGACCTGCTCTGGACCACCTCAAAGGCAGTTGGGTGTCTGTCTGCCTAGGACTGAGGCAGTGTACTGCTCACTGCAGGGGGAAAGCACCCACTTTGCCTCTCCAGAAGCCCCCTGCCTAGGGATCAGATGAGATCAGGCATGTTCAGGATGGTATGTCACAGATCCCCCCCCCAGATGTCTTTCTGGCCCAGATACTCTGACTCCAGGGATGTCCCCGTATCTCAAAGAGACTAAAACCAAAACTGTGTCCAGAATTCTCTCCCTCTGCAACACCCTGAGCTTCCAGCCCAGCCCTGCTCCTCTCCAAAGCCAATAATCCAATTTCCACAAGCAGAGCCTGCATGCACACTGCTGTCTCCCTCCCCTTCCCTGGCTGCTTCTCTCCTCTGGATGGGCAGGGATGCCCACCTCAACCCCAGGCTACACACGTTCCAGGGTCAGAGTCAGAGCAGGTCCCATTATACAGCTGCTAAAGACTCAGAGCCTGGCACAAGGGAGGGGGCAGGGACAGGGCCAGGTCAGACTCACAGTGTGCCCGGTCAGGGCCCACGGGGCTGGTAGCAGGACACTTCCAGGGGACCCTAGGGCTGTTCAGCTGTACCCTCCAAATCTGGTTAGATTTTGTTCAATCCTCAATTTCAGCCTCTCTCCCTCAGAACATATGGCCACAAAATGAGACCTGTTTTCCATGGGGTTAGAGAGGTGGGGAGCAGAAGGGGCCCCTGTGTGGTCTTTCAGGGCCCGGTTGACAGGGAGCCTAGGCTGGCAGCCTCTGTGTGGCCTCTGCATCTACAATCCTGGTTTCTCCTCTCCTAACATGTCATCACCACAGGGTATGAGAAGCCAGCCCAGAAGGAATGGACAGGAATGCAGAGCCACAGGCCCACTACATACAGCCAAGCAGGGTAGCTCCCACTTCCCCACCAGGCCACAGCCCTCCCAGGACGAGCATTAGTCCTGGAGTGCCCCCTGCTGGTTACTCTGGGGACTCATGCAGCAAGTCAGACCTGGCCAGGAGCAAGGACTTAGAGGAAAGACTTTCCACTCTTCCCAGACACTCCATGTTACAGGTGAAGAAACTGAGGAACAGGGACTGGAACAGAGCAAGGACCCAATACATATTTTTTGAATGAATGAGCAGATGAGTGAATTATAGTAAGAAAACAACTAAAAAATGATTCTCTAAAATATGACATAAAACATGCTAAGTGACCAGTATTTGTTGAGTGACAGCCCCATGCCAGGAGATTTCCTAGGTGCATAGCCAGGTACCATGGTGAAGAAGGCCTTCTGTGAGGCTGTGGATAGAAAACCCTGTCAAGGCCGGGCTCGATGGCTCAGCCTGTAATCCCAGCTTTTTGGGAGGCCGAGGCGAGTGGACTGCCTGAACCTGCAAGTTTGAGACCAGCCCGGGCAGCTTGGCGAGACCTTGTCTCTACAATAAATCAAAAAAATTAGCCGGGCATGGTAGTGCACAACTGCTTGGAAGGCTGAGGTGGAAGGATCACCTGAGCCCAGCAGGTCAACACTGGGGTGGCTGTGAGCGTGCATGCGTGCCACTGCACTCTAGCCTGGGCAACAGAGTGAGACTTCAACTCTAAAAAAAAAAAAGAAAGAAAAGAAAAGAAAACCCTATCAAAGCCACTAGCATGTGCTGACAGCTAGCTGAGCCCTGCACACAGATTGTCCCAGCTAAGACACACAGGCGATGATACCCACGGCTCCCATGGGTGATGCTGAGAAGCACCATTGAAATAGATGCCTCGCCCCTCCCAGACCTCCACAGAGAGGTTCAGCAAGGACACTGCCTGGGACATAGCTAATCCAGAAGCCACAGTGCTCAGAGACCCCCAGGAGGCACCTCCTGGAGCACCCACTACATTGCCTCCCTCCATCCATCTGTTCATCTAGCCATCTTTGCATTTCCCTTACTCCCCAACAGGGTGTCCAGATCTCCCTTCCAGACACTTCATAGAAGATGAGAAGCACCCAGTCAACACTGCAATAAGGGGTAGAGGCTTACCACCAGGACCCCCGTGAGGCTTTTGCTCACACACCAGCCCTTCACACCTCGTGGTGCACCCAGTGTTTGTGGATTACAGAAAAACCCACAGGGAGGACCCAGATGACCACACAGCTTTCAAAACTGAGGCAGTGTTAGATAAGCAAACAAATATCCCTTCCAGGTACCTTAATGAGCTAAATGTGAAAAGCAAAACTCTTACATTTTAGAAGAAAACATGGCAGAATATCCCCATGAGCCAGAGTAAAGAAGGATTCTCTTACATGGAATTTCAAAAAAGCACAGAGAAAAAGACTGATAAAACTGACTACATTATTCAAATGAAAAACTGCTGGACCAATGAATTCACAAATACACAGTGGAAAGCCAGGCAAACAGCCTGGGAAATGACATTTGCAATGTAGGTAACCAACAAAGGGTTAGAATCCAGGATAAATGGCACACGCCCTCAAATCAGTTAGAAATAGAAAAACAACTCCAACAGAATGAGTCCAGACTCCCTGGAGGCACTGGGCAGAAGAGGAGTCCAAGAAGACACCAGGCAGAGGGGAGAGGCTCCCTCTCACCAGTTACAGGGGACAGCAAAGTCACACAACAGTGAAAACTACAGCACAACAGGCAGCTGGCAAGGATGGGCCCCAGGTTCTCTTGAGGCCAGAAGAGGGAGGCTGGGCTGGGAAGAAATTGCAGTATCCAACGAGGCTGAAGGCGAGCGTGCATCCTCCATGCCCAGCAATGCCACCCTGGCAGAGGCCAGGAAGACTCCCTTTGTAGTACCAGGAAACCCTGAAAAGGAATGCTCACCCTGCAGTCCTGCGCACAAGAGTGGAAATGACCCACTCTCCTACCAGCCGGGGATAGGAAATGAGTTGTGACATTCACATGCCAGAGCAGTGTGCAGCAGTGGAAACAAATGAAATTTAAGCCATGACACAACATGGATTAATCTCAAAATTATAACATTACTTTTTCAAAGATTTTTTAAAGTAGCAGAGGGATACATATAGCAAGATCCATTTACATAGTTTTAAAACATACAAAGCAAGATTTTATATACATATATAGTTTATATGTAATTGTATCTGTGGTAAAATATAGAGACATGGATTTAGGAGATATAGTCACCAAATTATTGATGGCTCAAGGAAGGGCAGGAGGAAGGGTGCTTGGTGGAGGGAGGTTCACAGGATATATGGACTGTATAATTATATCAAACAAAAATCTGAAGCAAATATGAAATATGGATGTAGAATGTTAAGATTTGGCAAAGCTGAGTGATGGCACCCAATGCTCTACCTGAGTAAAAGCAGCAAGTCCCCTCTCTCCACACCCTAAGAATGAAGGGAGAGACCCTCACTCACTCACTCCTCAGGTTCCTGCCCATGGTGAACACAGGGATTCATTTAGCTCAGCCCAGCACCAGTCTCCCATGGGTCACCCCAGTACCCTAGGGGCTCTCAACTCCAGGTACATGTGAGAAGCATTCAAGGTGAGTTTCAGAAATATATGCGCTGCACCATCCCTGAAGACTGATCCAGTAGCCTGGGAGAGGACCAGGGACATGGTAGTCTTTTTAAAAGACCCCAGACCTAGATTCTCCCCAACACCCAGCCAGAGGAAGATATGCCTCAGAAGCCCAGCAGCAATCCTCAGCCCTCACGGGCTCTGCTCAATTGACCCTGCCTCTCTGCACCTGATCCTGCAGTCATTTCTGAGTCTTAATCCGGAGAGTGCCCACACCTGACCTTGAAAGTCTGCACTACGTCTGTTGTGCTAGGTGCTATGCTATACACTTGGCAAGGTTCTCAATTTGTCCTCACTTCAGGACTCTGAGACAGAGGCCATCAGCCTTACTTTAGACATGAGGAAACAGCCTGTCCAGGGACACACTGGGAGCAATGGGAAGGGCAGAGGGGAACCCAGGCTTATCTGACTCCTGGGCTACAACATCTGTTTGTCCATCTTGAACTAAGGTATCCTATCATGCCTCTTGGAATGAGCCCCTTGTTTAAAACTGCTCATTGCATCATGCAATCTGGCAGATGTCAATCTGAAACAAATCTCAACCTGCTAGCTACAGCTGGCAGGTGGCTGTCACCCTGGACTCCCTGTCTAATTAGCTAGTGGGAGTGGTCAGCTGAGAGGGACCACCAGCCAGGGACTAAGAGGCCCTTAGGAACTATATGCAACATTGTCTTCAGGGTGGGCCTTCTTTATTCCTTAAAAATGTGCTATGACATTTCACAAGAGAGGATATTTAAAGAGACTCCTCTTTTAATCACCAGGAAAATACAAATTAAAATGAAAATAAGATACTGTACTACTACACACCCACCAAAATAGCTAAAATAAAAAGTAAAGATAAACAGTTGGTGAGGATATAAAGTACCTAGAACTCTCATATATTGCTAGTGGGAGGATAAATTGGTACAACTACTTTACAAAACCATTTGGTAATATCTTCTAAAGGCTGAACATGAACTTACCCTATGGCAGCCATTCTATCCCTAGGTATATCTCAAAATAAATGCATATATATGTCCAGCAAAAGACATTTATAAGAGTGTTTATAGCCACTCTATTATTGGTAGCCATAGCTAGAAATAATTCAAATTTCCATCAGCAACAGAATGAATAAATAACTGTAGCATGTCATACAATGTGAATATCATACTCCAGTATAAACTAGCAAAAATCAGTAATACATAATACACATAAATCTCAGACACATAAAATTAATCAAAAGTAGCTAGAGACAAAATATTACAGGTTGTACACTTCTATTTGTGTAAATATTTTTTAAAGGCATAATCTATGACCTTAAAAATTAAAGACACTGTTTACCACTGTGTGAGGGGTAGTACCTGGTATAGGGCATGGGAAGTTCCTGGAGAGCAGGTAATACTTTACATTTCGATCTAGGCAGTGTTCACACAGCATGTTCACTTGGTACCTTTTTTTTTTTTAAGAAACAGAGTTGCCCAGGTTGGAGTGTACTATAGCAATCACAACTCACTGCAGCCTCAAACTGCTGGGCACAAGGGATCCTCCCACCTCAGCCTCACGAGTAGCTGAGATTACAGACACACTCCACCACACCCAGCTAATTTTTAATTCTTTTGTAGAAACGAGGTCTCACTGTGTTGCCCAGGCTCATCTTGAACTCCTGACTTCAAGCGATCCTCCCAAAATGCTGGGTTTACAGGTGCAGCCACTGTACCTGGTACACTTAGTATAATTCAATCAAATGTTCACTTATGACATGTGCTTTTTAAATATGTATGTTGTACTTAGACAAAAAGTTAACTTGATCTACAGCTAGCACATATGTGACCTAGAGAAGAGACTGACCGGCAACCGAGTATCCAGCAGATTCGTGTGCAGAACGCAAGCGTACCTGAAGGCAACTGGGCCAGGTGCTTATATGCCTTGTGCAGGTTCTTCCGGCAAAGTGGGTGGGGATCATTCAGCAGGAAGGACAGGGCAAGGATGACATCATGCTCTAGAAAGCCATCTCTAGGGAAGAAAGGCAGGTGGATACATAACTGAGATCATGCCTGGGGAGAACCAAATGAGATCAGTGCTCCTGCTATAGTCTGATCTATGCAACCTGGGACGGACCACATTCCTCTGGCTTTGTGGGAACAGACAAAGGCCAGAGGTAGACAATACATTATGGATCCTGAGAGTCTAGAGACCAGAACAATGTGGCTTGTGTCATGGCAAGAATCACACAGCTCTGCCACTTTCTAGCCAGGACTCAGACTCCAGCCCTTTGTGCCCCCAGCTCCTGATTTTCACTCTTCTGAGCCTCATTCCTGTTGTCTGTGAAATGAGCATAATTAGGCCCCAGAGGCTCAGGACCCCTCACCTGAAGCTACAGGGCATGAGCTCAGCAGGTCCGGCCCCCCTGGCCTTCACTGGTCTCCCTCCCCTCCACAGCTACGTTTGCCTGTTATACTTGTTATCATTATGTAAGCTAATTAAATATTAGCTAAGCCAATTAGATGAGAGGAGATTTTTAAAATTTTTTCTTACTAGAAAAAATTGAATGCTTTCGAAAGATTCAAAATGGAGTCTCTTTAAAATAGTGAGATGATTGTAAAAGATTCTAGAAGGTTTTTGCATACAGATTATTTCATTAATATCTTTGAGTTCTTACACTACTTTAAAGAAACCAAAGCTGCAAATCAGATGAAGTTACAAGTGTGGCTTAAACAAAAAAGATGACTAGAGGGAAATGTCAACCAGTGTCCATGGATCCCACACAGAGATTGGCAAATGCCTTATCATTTATGTTTTGGGTCAAAATGAGCTGTCTAAAGGAAATATACCATTTCTTCAATTGCTTTGCAACCATTTCTTTTGATTAACCAAAAAACAGCTGGGCCCAGCTGCATCTGGAAAGAGAGCTTCTGGGATCATACCTCTTGTGACTTGGTTCAGGAATAAAGAAGTCATGTGTGAAGCCCTTAGCCAAATGCCCAGCACACAGGAAGTGCCCAAGCAATTGTGCTACTGTAGCATAGGTCACGACTTAACCTTACAGTGTGTTCTGTATAATTCTAGAAGAAGAAAATCACAGTGGGACACAAAAGTTGCAGGGGCCTTCCCTGACTACAAGGTCCTCAGTCAGTACCTGAATATGTACTCCATGATGCTCATGGTTTAAAAGTTGGTTGTGTTTGCTCGTAGAGCATGTGCCCCCTCACCAGAGGCGAGCAAGAGGGCAGAGGTCAGGCTACCCAAGAAGTTCTCCTGTTTGTGGGATGTCATGCAAATTAAGCCCTCAAGGTGACAAGATGCCAAACCAGGGGCTGCCATGCTCATTACCCCTCCATGTCACTACTTGTATGGGTAAAAGAGAGTAGAAGGGTTTCAACCTGGAAATCAGGGCAGTTACTTAGCACGTACCCTCATCAGAGCTCTACAAGCTGTTGGCGTCAGTTATAAGATCACCACTGAACTCAGGGAAAATTTAGAAGTTGGCTACATTTCTAGAACACTGAAGTAGTGTGCAGGCCAGGCTGTATCAGCTCCTTGGTCAGGAAGGGTCTCTTCAACACATCCTCCAGCCTCGATAACGTGGGACAGCCAGGACCCCAGCTCAGGCTCTCTGGGGCTGCTAAACAAAGCTGATTCCCTCCTCCCCAGGCATTTTACTTCATTATAACTGCCCAGGTTTCAAGGACCTCCTCTCAGCATCTGTGCCCCCTCAGTGAGGGTTACCACCTAATGTCCATATCCAGTCCAGAAGAGAGGAGAAAAAAACAATAAAAGGATGAGAAATACTTGACCCCTGTGTGCCTGTAAGGTTTTAAAGCATCTTCCCTGCATCATCTCAGATAAACCAAATGAGGCTAGGATCAGAACTCTTGCCCAGTTCACAGACCAGGAAAGAGTGCCCCCACTCTACTGATCTGTCCACAACTCTGACCTGCCCTTCTTGGTGCAGAGTGTGTGAATTAGGGCACTCAACCACGACATTACCTCCCCACACACACACACCCCATTCATGGCACCCTAATGGGTCAGGGCTACCACAGGATCAGGCATCAAGGTGGCAAGAGCTTGGGGACCAACAGGGCTAAGCAACTTTGGCTTTCATGAGATGCCCAGAATTCTTGCCACAATTAGAAGCCTCTCTGAATGGGTGTTTACACCAAATAAGCCCAAAAGCAGTCATCACCTTGCCTTTCCTTCTTTCTGGGTCTGTGCACACTTGGAAGTGCTCCCCTTTCTACAAGAGACCTGGGGCAACTTGGGGGTGTTTGTGATGTGGGGTTCTATTTTTTTTTTTGAGTTGGAGTCTCACTCTGTCGCCCAGGCTGGAGTGCAACGCCACACTCACGGCCACCTCAGCGTCGACCTGCTGGGTTCCGGCGATCCTTCCGCCTCAGCCTTCCAAGTAGCTGGAACTACAAGCGTGTGCTACCACGCCCGGCTAATTTTTGATTTATTGTAGGGACGAGGTCTCACCAAGTTGCCCGGGCTGGTCTCAAACCCGCGGGCTCAGGTAATCCACTCGCCTCGGCCTCCCAAAGTGCTGGGATTACAGGCTGAGCCACCGAGCCCGGCCAGGTTTTATTTTTAATACAAAGTAAAACTAGCAATCCCTGGTGAAGAGAGTGAGCTAAGCTGACAGAAAGTACCTCAAATCTGCTGCCCCAACTCCTAGCTAAAATGCCAAATGAAATATTTCTTTTTTATTATTTTTTATTTTTTTAGAGTCAGGATCTCATTCTGATGTCCAGGCTGGAGTGTAGTGGCACAATCATAGCTCACTGCAGCCTCGACCTCCTGGGCTCAGGCGATACTTCCACCTCAGCCTCCTGAGTAGCTAGAACTACAGTGCCACCAGGCCTGACTAATTTTTTTACTTTTTTGTAGAAATAAGATCTTACGATATTGCCCAGGTTGGTCTTGAACTCCTGGGCTCAAGCAATCCTCCTGCCTTGGCCTCCCAAAGTGCTGGGATTACAGGTTTGAGTCACCACACTCGGCTAGAAATATTTCTTAAATATAAAATGTGAAGCCGTGTTTACACAGGAAAGAGACATTTACAGGTGCCAAAACCAAGGAGAACCTCAGCGTCATGAGGTGAGGCCACTAGTTCAGACCCGATGTGCACTTTGAAGCTGGTATTTTAACATCAGCATGAGGACAGGAGCCAAAGCCACAGGCCCTATGAAGCCTCCTTTCCTCCCATAAAAAGCTAAGAAAAAGCAAAATTGTTGCAGATGTGGAATCTGAACTTGCTTTCCACTTTCAAAGTAGGAAGCTCAGAACTAGGAACTAACATAAAAATTAGCCTGGAACAGAAAGCCCCATTAGGCCCCAACAGAGGTGACCAAAACTACCCCACAAAGAGGCCTGCTCTGGCCAAACAGAAGTCCCACCAAAGACCAGTGCCACAGAAAAAACATCAAAACACTCAAGGTGATTCAAGGGCATCTGCCCAGAGAAGGGCTACTGCATAGTATAACACTGGTTTCCAGAACAGCAGCCCACCTGCCTATGTTATGGGTTGCCATGTTGTAGAGCACCTCGGTGGTCTTTATCCTCACCATGTTGTTGCTATCTTTTAGCGAAGCTTTCAGGCTCTCCAGGAAGCCTATGAGGCAAAAAATACAAAAGTAAAACTGAATGTCTGCCAGTCTCAGAAATCAGCTAATCCAAAAGTTAGCAGGTGGGCCAGTGTTGGGCAACAAGAGGTACCAACATTCTAGTGCTTTGGGGCGTTGGGTAATCATGTTGGTTACACAGCATTTCAGAGTCACTGAAAGGGTTCATATCCAGGAACCATCTCATCTGACCCTCCTCAAGCCTCTCCCTGCATACTTCCTACAGTGTCTTCTCTCAAAATCTGCCATAAGGTTAAGACAATGGCCTTTGCCATTTTTTTGACTCCAGAAGAGATGTGAGGTCCAATTATAGCCCTGTCCCAAACTAGTCACATGACCTTGAGTGGGTTACACCTAGGGAGATACCAGATTTATCAAATAAAAATTTTGGTATACTTACTTATCAAGGAACCATCATAGACTCACACCCCTTCCCTAGAACTTGGTTTTCTTACCTCTTGGTTGAGGATTTGTCCTCCCTCACTGGTGGTTGCTATGAGAACTAAGATAACTCCGGCACTGCACTTGGAGTGGAGTTGGCCTGGACCAATAGCAATCCTTATTACTGAAGTTCTACCCAGTAGCCAAGGCCATGCTAGGACCCCAGTCATGGTCACTTGGTTGCGACACTCTCACCTATTCTGATGGCTTCGTAGACATATTCAGGGTCGTGCATGAGATCACACAGGGCCATGAGGGCTTTCTGCCTCGTCAGCAGGTCCTCTGAGTTCAGCTCCTCATTCAGCTTGGGCAGGGCCCGACAGCCATAGGCAATGGCAGCCTGGGTGGGGTTGATATTGGGGGGCAGATACGTGGAGATCTGAGCATGGGCCATCTTTCCACAACTACAAAGGACTTTGAAAACGAAGCTCTGCAGAAACCAAAAAGCTGTCATTACTACCATTGTGATTTAGAACCTACTTCTCATCTGATCCTCAAAACTGTGAAGGCAGGTGGGTGGGCATTTTTATTTCCATTTTACAGAAGAACAAACAGGCTGAGAACAATGAAGAGATTTGTTCACAGTGAAGGTAAGTAGCAGCCCAAATTGCAAACTCCAGGGTTCTCCCATGCAGTAATGCTTGACAAAAGAAAAAGCTACTGATACTTTACAGACTAGGTCTTCAGTCAAAGGCACCAAAAGGACAAAACAAAACAAACAAGCAAAACCCAAGATGGTCACACCATTTAAAGCTTATCTTGTGCAAGAAATAACTAATACCCAACTCAACGACCTCATTAGGAAGGGACTTGTATTTTCCATATTTTACAAATGAGGAAACTGAGGTTTGGGCCAAGGAGCTTGCTGGTGGTCACAGAACTGTTAAAGCTAGGAGCCAATGTTCAAATCCAGGTCTAGTTCCTTCACTGCCAGGTACCCACATTCCAATGCTTCCAACACATCCATGAAAATGAATTAAGGTTAAAAGATTATTTATTTTATTTTTAAGGACAAGGTCTCATTATGTTGCCCAGGCTGGACTCAAACTCCTGGACTCACTCGATAAAGGGTGATTCATTTTTATTACACACATACACCCTTTGAGCAGCTATAGGTAGTTAAGGTTTAGCAGTTAAGAACTGGCTCCTGGCTCCAGACCCAGGCCATAGGCGGCCCTTGGTAAGTTAAATCCTCTGTGTTGTTCTGCAGCTGCAAAGGTGAGGTGATAATAGTACCACCTTCCCCCCCTCCCAGACTTGTCATATTAACTGATACACATGAGCTCGGAATACCAGGACTCCAGACATGTTGGCTGTGGTCATTATGGTTGCTACTGCATTTGGTGGCATGGACAGGTCCCAGTCCCGTAAGAACCTACTCTAGTAAGAGGTGAGCCATACTTTTTGACACGGGGCACCAGAAAACAAGAGGAGGAGAGGGGGCCGGCCTCCGAGGGACGCGGCCATATTTGATTTGGGCGCCCTTCCGCGAACGGTATGCGCGGGGGTCAGGGCACTCTCCTCCTCTAAGGGGTATGAACTCCGGGAGTCCGCGGGTGAGGGGTCTTAATTTAGGGTATGGGGACACGGGCCAGGTGTGAGTGGGACTGGGTGGGTTACGGGGTTCCCCTGTATCCAGGCAGCTGTTCCGCCGCCGCCGCCTCACCTGCCTCAGCGCGCGCAGTTTCCCAACTCCCTCCGCACGCAGCGCGCGCCCGTTGCCAGGCGACCAAGTTGCCAAGCGACCCTAGAAGCGTCCGCCGCGCCGCACTCTGACCACTCGGCGCCACCGCGCAGGCCCGAACAGCCTTGTGCTGGGGCAAGCTGCAAATGGGAACAAGAATATGTTACAGGGTTACTGTGAGGACCAGAGGCGGCTCAGCTTTGTTCCAGGTACAAAAGGGAAGGGAAGGAAGGGATTTATTTACGTCCTTCTCAGTACTGGACACTTTGCATGCCTTTGATCCTCAGAGTAATCCCACGAGGTGGTAACATTATCCAGTTCAGGGCCAAGAACGTCAGAGAGGTTCAGTAGCTTCCCCTAAATCCCACAGGCCTAATCGCAGGACTGCCTAGCCCTGGCGCACCCGCCTTCGTCTGCAAGGTGACCGCCTGGTAATGACAAAGGTTGGCCTTTGCATTGGACACCGCTAGCCAGAGTGGTTTTTCTCAAAAGCAAGCCAGACCTAGCCACCACCTGCATAAACCTCCCCCGCATGGCTCCCCACAGGTCTCAAGCCTGAGTCCAAACTCCTAGCCTACTGTTCAAGTGCCTTGGAGATGGCTTTCTGCAGCCATAATGTACTGTCTTTTAATCCCTCAAATGGCCAGTTCTCTCCCACAACCTAAGCTGCCTGTAGCACCAACTACCTCTTTGTTCTTCAGGACACAACTTTGTGGACACTTCCTCCATGAAGACTTCTCCCTAAAGGAGTGAAGGACATACCATTCCAAAATATACTGAATTAGTATATTGATTATTTCAAGTTGACAGCATTGGGGAAATTGTAGTTTTAAAAGCGTTAGTTGATCTGTCTCTTACTACCTGTAGCAAGCCATAAAGATTCTCTGGGAGAGGTACCCTCCCCACACCACAGTGAGAAAATAGCCCTTATCACCAGAGACTGGAAATTGGGGCTACAATGGGCCTGAATAAATGTACTTAACGAAGTAACCCTTATTTTCCATCAGTTTTACACCCCCGTTTATCTCCTAGTGTTTCCCCTAGAATGTACTACCCTTAGCCAGATCCCCTTTGTCCTGTCACTTCTCATATTTATCGTTTTGTGTTTAAAATGTATAGAAGCACCTTTCTTTGGTCACTTTTTCAGACTTCACTCTTCTGTGAACATCTCCTTGTACATGTAAAACTAAGAAAATCTGTATGCTTTCCTCTTGGTAATCTGCCTGGTGTCAGTTTGATTTCTAGATCCAGTCAGAGCCAACTTAAGAGCTATGGGAGGGGGGACGGGGGTTGGAAGTGATCTCCGGCTTCCCTTTATCCCTAAATCCAAATTAGTAAGTGATCCCACAGCTTAATTCCCCCTTCTTCTAAATCCCATTGGCACACTCCCTACTTTTAATTTTCTTTTTATTTCTCTGTTTCCCCTAGCTTCTCTGAGTGAGGACACCATGTCAGTTCAATTTTCTTCTCCCACCCCATTTGTCCAACTCTTGGCACTCTACGGTGTGGGCACATCTCCTAGGCCAGGGTCACCAGGACAACGTGTCCCCCGCCCCCTCCCCCTGTTCCCCCAACATGTTCTGCAGCCCAGGCCCTCCCTCATTTCAAACCAGGAGGCTTTCAGTAAATGTAGAGCAAATGAATGGTTAATGGACTAATCAAGCTTTACAATCTAAAAGCAGTCTCACCATCTCAAGTAATCTTAACAACAAACCCTTGAAGTAATCAGATCCATATTTAGCTGAGTAAACTGAGGTAGAGCAATTCACCTAAGTTCACCCATCTAAGTCAGCAACCTTAGCAGTGAAACTCATTACAAGGCATCAAACACTAGCCTCCAGCATATTTAGCTTTAAGAGTTAAAGATGACTGACTTAGATCTGTGTACCAAGGATCCCATACTGTGGTGAAGAAAAATAAAGAAGCTGAATCAAGGAGGTTCTCAAAGCTGGGAACCTCGGATCTCTCCTAATCTGGTTCCACAATTTTATTAGGAACTCTGGAGGCCATCTAGCCCCACACACCTCATTTCCAAACCGAAACTAGCTCAGAGGAGCCCACTGACTCAGGTCAACTTTCTAACAGCCACTGATTTTTTAAAATTAATTTTTAAATTAATCTTTCAAAAAGCAATAAGGAAATTAATTTTATAGCAAGAGCTTTAGAAATCAGGCATGTCATAGTCAGACAACATTGGACTCAGAACAAGGCAGATTAAGGTCGGTAGGTGATAGGCATGTCCATTCCTTGCCACAGCAAGAACTCTGCCACCAGCCCTCAAGCAGGGCCCCACCTAGAGCCCCGGATCCACCCTCTGGCCTCCCTGGCCCCACCTATCCATCACCGCCCCTGTTGTCATGGTGATCTGCGCTCCTGCGGTATCCTAGAGTCTCTCTGCCGACAGCCCCGCCCAGACTCCAGGGAGCTCTCGTAGCTACAGTAATCGCCGGTGCCAGCTGCGTGCAGGACTCTTGACTGTCAGTGCCGCCCAGACCTCGCCCTTAACGTCGGCCATTCGTCAGACGCCATTCGTCAGACGCCCGCCTGTCCCGAGTGCCCTCGTCGCCATGGTGATCGCCGCTGCGGCCCAGGACTAGGCCGCGCGGAGCCCTCAGCCTTCGCAGCAGCTACGGGTGAGTCCTCCCGCCCCCTTTGTCCGACCCTCGGCCCTCCACTGTGTGGGCACGTCTCCTAGGCTTCGGTCGCGAGGACGACGCGTTCCCCGCCCACCCCCTACCCCTTCCAAAGCGTTCTGTGGCCCGGGCCCTCCCTCATTTCTTGAACTTTCACTCTGGGCCAGGCCAGTGCTGGTCCCCGGAAGGAGAATAACCGGGTCAGATGGAGGAGGACAACAGCAGACCTTACCCAAGGCTACCCTAGTGGGTAGAGGGGGATGGACAAGAAAAAGGGAGGGAGGACTGTTGAGTTCGCTTGAGGGGACAGATGCTGGATGGGGTGAGGAATTTGAGGGTAAAGGCCTGCTGGCTGACACTTAAGACACCCAGCCCACTTAGCGCCTTCAATCTTTAGAGACTAGGAGCAGGAGCCCCCTCCCCACTCTACTTTCACACCTAGGCTGTGACCCACACAGCCTAGGCGTGGAAGTGGTGTCTGTGCCAAGCGTCACACTCCAGTGTGGTAAGCTCAGAGAGGGACCCCTGCTCAATAGACACCTGTCATTGGAGAGGGTGGACCCAGGTCTTCTGACTCCCAGACAGGGCAGGGCAGTCCTGGTATACCCACACCTGCAGATTGACTTCCTGTGTCCAGATGGCCACTACCTGATATTTCAAACACGGAAGGAGGCTTGGATCTGTTTTAAAGCGATAAAAAGTTAGACAGAAATGTATGGATGCATCCCCAGGGATTTGCACAGCTTCCTAACTCTCTTTTCTCTGGTTGGGTCCACAAGACTCTGGAAGAATGAGGTCCTCCCTAACACCTTGGGGATCCCCTGTGAGCCGGGACCACATCATCTCCAGCTTCCCTAAGGTAGAGTTATTATGCTCTCCTGACCCTGAGACCACATCAGCACTTCCCGGTCTGCACTCACCCCAAAAATAAAACAGGTAAAATTAAGGACGTCTGTCTGTCATCAGATTTACAGGCTTCTCCTTGAGAAGGCGAGATACTGAGCATTGACTGCAAGAAGGGCCAGCAAGTTAATGGTGAAACCAGGTAGCAGTGTGGCATGAAGTTTATAAGGACTACAACTTTGCAGGCAGACAGTCCTGGGTGTAAATCTTGCTCTACCATTAAACTGTGTGACCATGGGCAACTTATTCAACCTCTTGGAGCTGCTTCCCCACTCATGGCAACCTGGAGATCCCGTGCAGTCGTGATTGCTGCTGTTCCTCATTATCATTACTGTTATAAAACAACATTCTAGTTTCCAGAGTCCAAATCCAGAGCTCTTTCCCTTTGCCATTCTGCCTTCCATTTCACCAAAAATGTATAGCTCTATTCATCTGCACTAAAATCCAATATCAGCTGCAGCAGGGACTGCAGATCAGTACAACCTCTGTAGGGGCAGTGGGACAATGTTTACCAACATGGCAAATGCCCCTGCCCTCTGAACTGACCTCCCCATGTATAGGAATTTACTCTGCAGATGTCCTGGCATGGATGTGCCATGTGCACAAGGACAGGTGCTACAGCAGTCTATAAAAACAGAAGGTCAGCCAAGTGCAGTGGCTCAAGCCTGTAATCCCAGCACTTTGGGAGGCTAAGGCGAGATGATTGCCTGAGCTCACAGGTTCAAGACCAGCCTGGGCAACATAGTAAAACCTCGTGTCTACAATAATTTTTTTTTTTTTTTTAATTAGCCAGGCGTGGTAATGCGCGCCTATAGTTCTGGCTACCTGGAAGGCTGAGGCGGAAGGATCACTGGAGCCCAGCAGGTCAACGCTGGGGGGGGGGGGCGTGAGCATGCCTGTGTGACAGAGTAAGACTTCAACTCAAAAAACAAAAAAACCAAAAAAACCAGAAGGTCAGATGTAACATAAATGTCCTTCAAGGAGGCTGGTTAAACAAGTAACACTACTTTCTGGCACAGATGAGGAACGAGACGCCTCCTCAGGGCTGACATGTGTGAGGGCTAAAGTGCCCTTCAGATTTGTTTAGTAAAAACACCCAGGTCCAGGTACAGTGGCTTGCACCTATAGTCCCAGCACTTTGGGAGGCCGAGGCAAGAGGATTGCCCAAGCCCAGGGGTTCGAGACCAGCCTGGGCAATTGGTGAGACCTCACCTCTACAGTATATCAAAAAATTAGCTGGGCATGGTAGCACATGCTGTAGTTCTGGCTACTTGGAAGGCTGAGGCAGAAGGATAGCCTGAGCCCAGCAGGTTGATGCTGGGGTGGCCGTGAGCATGGCACTGCACTCCAGCCTGGGCAACAGAGTGAGACTCTAACTCAAAAAATAATAAATAATAAATAAAACACCCAGAATAGAGTAAAGCATACTTCTGCGTGTGTAAAATCAAGGAGCAAGAGAAAAAAATATCTATGTCTGTTTATACATGGAGAAAAAATTTCTGCCTAAGTCCCCACTGTCAGTGGTTGCCTCCGTGTGGCTTGGGACAGGTGTGGAGGAAGAGCTTCTCTCCACAGAATGGCCTTTTGTATCTTTTTGATTCTGTGCCCAGACTGGTAAGGAGGCGCTGACTGCAGAACCTGGTTATTTGAGGCCTGTGGCCATTTCTTCTTCCTCCTTCTTTACTTTCCTCCTGAGTTCTCTCTTCACACACCCACAGAGAAGGCCTTTGTAACTCAGACCTCAAACAGTTCTCCCCAGGTTTTCCATCTCAACAGAGGCTCAGTTGCCTTCCCTATGGAGCTTGACAGTGGTAACTGGGAATGATGGAGACTGGCAATTTGTGAGCCAAAAGGAAGGGAAGCGTGATTGACACAAAACAGTTCAGGTCTCATGGGACAAAGGATCCCCATCGACAGAGCAGGACAACAAGGATCAGAGAGGTAGGGAGGTTGCCTGTCATTGCACAGCTGGGCATGGTGGAGCTAAGCTAGGATTTGACCCGGCTGTGTCTGGTCCCCTACTTCCCTACCCCAGGGAGGCATCCTGGGGCATCTGTCCTGTTCTCACAGAAGGCGAGATTCTCCCTTCCTGCCTGCAGTGGTCAGGGGTCACAGGCCACTGCTGAGTAAGTTCATCCTCCACCCCAGTGTCATACCACTTGAGACTGAGAAATCTGTGGTGAGGTCAGGCTGGGTCCACAGAGTGCTGCTTGGACAAGTCGTTTCCTTTACTTTGTGTGCCTCAGTTTCCCAGCCTCTAAAATCAACTCACACTTCCTACCCTGTGGCCTTTCTTACCAGTTCTCTCCAGTTGTCCAAAACTGTGAGATTCCTCTAGTGACCACTGTATGTGGATCGGCCCCCCAGCTTGAAGCTATCATGGAAGTTGACAGGAGAAACCCACTAGCTTTGTCATGACGTAGCTGACACTCTTCTTTTTCCTTTTTTTTTTTTTTTTTTTGAGTTGGAGTCTCACTCTGTCGCCCAGACTGGAGTGCAGTGGCTGCTCCTGGCCACCGCAGCCTCGACCTGCTGGGCTCTGGCAATCCTTCCGCCTCAGCCTTCCAAGTAACTGGAACTACAGGCGTGCACTACCATACCCGGCTAATTTTTTGATTTATTGTAGAGATGAGGTCTCGCCAAGTTGGCCAGGCAGGTCTTGAACCCGCAGGCTCAGGCAATCCACTCTCCTCAGCCTCCCAAAGGTACGGAATTACAGGCTGAGCCACCGAGCCCGGCTAGCTGACACTCTTCTACACAAAAGTGGACTGTTGGATTAAGCTGTTCACCTATATTCAGTTACTCCTCCAACAGCCACATGAAAAGGTACTGTTATGAGCATCCCCATTTTACAGATGAGGAAACTGGGACTCAGGCAGTTTTCTCAACTTGCTCTTGCTCCTCCCCCACTCCCTGCTGCCTCAATCACAACTGGAGGTGAAAGGGCAGATGGGTCAGGGAAGAACCCAAATCCATGCCTGAAAACCTGTAAGAGACACTAGGGCTGGAGAGGAGAACTGTGGCTCCAGGAAGTGCCTGGAGTGATAGAGCAGTGGCGGGGTGGCACCGTTGCCATGCACAGATCACACCAGCAGCCTCAACGGTACCCTTCTCACATTCTTGCTATGTTCCATACTTTAGTTTGTTTCACATCATTTATTTATTTATTTAATTTATTTATTTATTTATTTTTTTTTAGAGACAGAGTCTCACTCTGTCTCCCAGGCAGGAGTGCAGTACTACGATCACAGCTCCCTGGAACCTCGAACTCCTGGCCTCAAGTGATCCTCCTGCCTCAACCTCCCAAAGCACTAGGATTATAGCCACTACACCCAGTCCATTTTTTTCTAATTGTAAAACAAATGTGCAGTCAACATGAGTCATCACATCTTAATAGCCACGAAATTTATTGAGCAGTTAGTATGTTCCAGGTTTACTCTGTACTGATGGCTTTACAAACATTGTCTTATTTCATGCCCCCAAGTCTCTGGTGGGGAAGTTAAAGTTCAGAATAATTGGGCAACTGCCCAGGGTCACACAGCAGGTAAGGGTGGTAGGAGTGTATGCAATTCTTCCTGATGCCGAGGCTTGTGCTTTTAAACCACTGCTCAGGTCTGCCTTCCAAGAAATGTGGAAAGCAGAAAGTGCCTTCTAAGACATTTTTCAGGCACATATATGTATATTTTTAAAACAGAAATGGCATCAGAGATCCATAGACAGTATGGAAAGATCTTGGAGCCAAAAGGGCCCTCCCTGCTCACCCCTCATTTCACCCAGAGAGGGCCAAGGCCCAGAGAAGGCAGAAGTCTGTCACATTCATGCAGCAAGGGGACAGCAACCCAGGTGAGACCAAGATCTCCTGCCTGGGCTCTTTGATTTGGCCCAGCCCCTCTAGACTCACAAGTCCCCGAAGCCTTGGAGCCTCGGGATTGGGGAGACAGAAGATGAACATGACAAGGGGATAAGGGAAAGTTAATGAGACTGCCAGATGCTAGAGGCCTGGGAGGGAGGGAAGACTGGTAAGTAAGTCACCACCTTACTGCTGAGCTCCAGGGATGGAGCCTCAGCTTTGCAGGTTGATTTTTTCTGTTCTTTGCATCATTTCTGTCTCTTTGCAGTGGTACACACCTGATGCCTGCCTGCAGCTCAAGGAGAACTTCCACAGGCAGGTCAGCGCAGCCTGCCAACTCAGGAACACAGGGACTGTTGGGTGAGCCTGCAGGGCATGGGTGGAGGAGGAGATGGTGGGAAAAACCGTACACATGAATGTGTGAATGAAGGAATGAACAAAAATGAAATACACAGGCGAGGCGCATGCAAGCCAGTACAGGGCTGAAGATTGTGGGATTTTTATCTGGCTTCACTTGACACACCTCTTCCTCAGTAAGTCATGCAGGTAAACTTTCAGCCTGTGATCTTAGCACAGATCCATTTCCTATGTCTGGAATGTCTTTCCTAATCCCCTCACTTCCCCTTCCCTTCAGGTCTCCCTTCTTTGACCTCCACTGCCCCTCCCGCTAGCCTGGGCTGGGTGGGATGCCCCTCCTGTGTGCTCTTGTGCCCCAAGAACTTATCTCACAGAATTGCACCTTTGCCTGTCTGGATTCCTCACTGAACCTGACCTAAGAGGGCAAGGACTGTGACTGTCCTGTCCCTGCCTCGGCAGAACCTGCCACCACCAGCAGAGATTTTTGCAGCAGTCGTTCCTTCTTTTAACAAACCCCTCACCCTGAGGAGTTTGCAGTCCTCTAGGAAGTTGACTGAGCTCACAGGTGTCACACAGGTATGGTGAGGCCACCAGAAAGCCCAGCTCAAGAGTCTCCAAGCTACACAGAGTGAGGCAGAGTTCAGGTCAGAATGGCCAGAGTAGCCGTGGTAATAGGATGGGTAAAGGCATCATTTGGGGAATGCCAGTGCCATATCAGGTGCCATACAGAGATGACCTCCTTGACCCCTCATAGTAGCACTGGACATGGAGACACTGAGACACAGAGGGTGCAAGACTGCTGCAAGACCTTGCCAGTACCTTTACTGCTTCATCTGAGAAATGGAGTCAGATGAAGCCATCCTAGAATGAGAAGGCCATCTGGGAGCAGGGTAGACACAGCCCCTGCCCACATGGACGTAGAGAGGTAAACTGCAGGCCAGGTCACCTGCTGCCTGCAGGTGGAGAAAGTGCCTGTCAAATGTTTACCCAAGTCGGTTGCTGTGATAATTGAGCATCTTTGAGCTGCAGAAACTCTGAAAGTATTGTCAACAGGCATGGTGGCATGTGCCTATGGTCCTAGCTACTCAGGAGGCTGAGGCAGGCGGTTTGCTTGGGCCTAGGAGTTTGAGACCAGCCTGGGCAACCTAGCAAGCATCCACTTCTACAAAAAAACACTCCCAGAAAAAGGCTGCTGCTGAGTGCAGGACACACACAGAGGGTAAGGGTGACAGCTGCTCTGGGTGAGCAGTATCCCCAGAAAGCAAGAGCCTCAAATTTACCTCAAGCCCCAATGTATGGATCCTGAGTCCTGTTCATGTCAGGCCCCTTGGCCTGTCTGTTTCTTGTGCCAGTGTCTCTCGGCCCTATGTCTGCATCTTTTGTACAGCTCCCTGCTAGCTTGGACATGCCATGGCTCTTACTTACCACAGACCCACCTTGGGCTTGTGCCTCTACCCCTTGGCCCGTGACTCAGCCTCTTGTCATGCCCATTTCTAATTCTCAGGACAGGAACTTTTTAGTCAAGTGGGCTCAGGGGTGCAGCCCCAGGCAGAAGAGTCCCCAGAACAAACACAGGCTCTCTCATCCTCCCCTCTGAGGGTCAGAGAGAGAGGACAGACTGTCTCAGCAGGGTGGCCCATTCTGCTTTCAAGAATGAGGGGTGGCTCATCAGCAGAGTTCTTAGAGCTCAGGGAAGGAAGGGCCTGTCAGTGTTTGAGGATGTTTTTAAAACCATGGCCGAGAGCAACATGGACATATTTTTCACAGGCTCAAACTCTCCAAGGTGGTAGTCGTTGGTGACCTCTACGTGGGGAAGACCAGCCTCATCCACAGGTATGAGGCTTCCTTGGCCCTGTTGACCACGCCTCCCGGCACCAGGTTGTCACACCCTTGCCTAGAGGCCCAGGTAATGGTGTCATAGTGGGAACTGTGTGGTTGCAAGGAGATGCTTTGGCTCAGCCTGGTGGGAGCAGAGGGGCGGGGTTGCAAGAAACTGGGGAGATGGTAGGGTTAGTCAGGAGCCTGGCATTCATCACATGTCCCGTGGGGCCATGAGCTCACCCCTCCACTGCCCTCCCTGCAAATGTACAGTTAGCTTTACTCTTTCTGAGCCACAGAGTTTGCCTTCTGGGTTCCCATAGCCTCCCTTCCCCCACATTGTCCTTGTTGGCTAACCTGCCTGTCCACTGCCTCCGTGGGCCTTCTCTTCCTTATTGCTCCTCTCTTGGTGGACCTTACTTGCCTCCAGACTTTCACTGTCACGAGTGAGCTTTTGTGCACATTACCTCTCTAGTGACTTCCTCACCTCCCACAGGTTTTGCAAGAATGTTTTTGACCGAGACTACAAGGCCACCATTGGGGTAGACTTTGAAATTGAGCGCTTTGAGATCGCCGGGATTCCCTACAGCCTCCAGATGTGAGTCACTGGTTCCCCCTTGTCCTGTGGGTGGGCTTCCTAGAGACACCTGGGAAAGGCCTTGGGGAGCTTCTTCTCCACTACGCCCTGTGTCAGCGAGGACTCACCACAAGTAGGGCTGGGGACGTGTGAAACCAAGTTTCCTGACTCCCTGAGTCCCTGGACACTCCCTCAGTCCCGATGGTTGTCTCGTTTTGGTCATCAGATTTGGGGAATGTCCTCACAGCCTGACCTCCCTGATGGCCCCACATCTGCCAGGGTGGGTCCCTCCCCAGGTCCTGACTCCAGCCATCCCCCACCTGGATCTCCTGTGACCTTACTCACAAGACCAATGGAATGGTCTCTAGCAAGTCGCTTCTGAGCTCTGAGGCTCTGTTTCTACTCTTAAAATGGGTCCAAATTCAGTCCTTGCATGCAAGACTTGGGAAAGAAGGGTTGAGGTAGAGGCTGTACCACCCACATCCTTCCTCAGGCCTGAAGCACCCATCTTCTTCCTCACACTACTGCCCACCCTCCTGCTCCCCTGCCTCCCTTTCCTTCCGTCTCTGTCTGTCTGTCTTCTTCCCTGCCAGGACCCAGGCATCTACCTTCAGTGGTCCACCGGCTTTAGCCTCACTCTGTTTCACCTTATAATAGCCCTGGGTCTTCCCAGGGCTCGCCCTTTCCCACCCTGACCGAGTACCTCACTCTGAACCTGGCCTTCCCTCTCCTTTAGCACCTGGAGGATGCTGAGAGCCTGTGGCTCCAGCCCCCTAGCTCTCCTGTGTGTCTGCAGATCCTGGGACATGAGCTTCTAGCTCTGTAAAGACAATACCCCCTCCTCTAAGGACTTCTCAGCCCCTGTGTGGCACTGGAGTAGAGGATAACAAATCCTGCTTGAGGGAGAGTACAGGGTCAGGCCAGAGCAGAAGAGACTGGGAAAACACTGGACTGCAGGACTCAGGGATCTGGAGAGCTGAGGAGAGCAAAGAGTCAGTGGAAGAGGCCCAGCTGGAGCCATGGGAGAGTGGTCGGTGATTGGGCTTTTTGCTGATGTGACCACAGGCCATATCTCATGAGAGGACCCAGGACAGAACAGAGGCACTCTTCTGGCTCTGCCTCTCATATTCTTACATTGAGGTCATTGCTAGCCTCCCAATGGGCCCATCTTCAGACTACCACCCCTAGCTCCTCCCCAGTCTTCTTCTGAAATGAAAGAAAATATTAATGAATTAATGAAAGAATGAAGCCAAAACATTCTGCATCGTGCTGGATCACTTGAAAAAAAAAATCAGACCACTCATGCCTTGTTTGTGGCTTGTCTACTTTTCAGTTTACGGGGAAAATTTTAATTTTGGCTTGTTGGCTTTTTTTTGTGTGTGTGTGTGTGTCAGAGTCTCACCCTGTTGCCCATGCTGGAGTACAGTGGCACAATCACAGCTCACCACAGCCTCAACCTCCTGGGCTCAGGCAATCCTTGTGCCTCAGCCTTCTAGTAGCTGGGACTATAGATGTGCATCACCAGGCCCAGCTAATTTTCTTTCTTTTTTGTAGAGATGAGGTTTTGCTGTGTTGCCTCGACTGGTCTCAAACTCCTGGACTCAGGTCATCCTCCCGCCTTAGCCTCCCAGAGTGCTGGTATACAAGTGTGAGCCACCACACCTGGCCTTGATCTGTTGACTTTTTTTTTTTTTTTTTGAGTTGTAGTCTCACTCTGTCACCCAGGTTGGAGTGCAGTGACATGCTCACGGCCACCGCAGCTTCTACCTGCTGGGCTCAGGCAATCCTTCCGCCTCAGCCTTCCAAGTAGCTGGAACTACAGGCGTGTGCCACCAAGCCCAGCTAATTTTTTTGATTTATTGTAGAGACAAGGTTTCCCCAAGTTGCCCAGGCTGGTCTCAAACCCGTGGGCTCAGGCAATACTCTCTCCTCAGCCTCCCAAAGTGCCGGGATTACAAGCTTGAGTCACCGTGTCCAGCAATCTGTTGACTTTAGAGAGGGATAAATTGGGGTTGGACTTCCAGACTCAGCCCTGCATAGTGACCACATGCTTTGTTCTAGGCCAGAGTGAGTAGATCTCAGCCTGTGCACCTTCCTCTCTTCTAGACTGCCCGTGGCAAACATCACTAATTGATTGTCACATTCTCAGCATCTTAAGTCCTTCTCAACATGGTGCTCCCAAGAACTGGAGCTAACTGCTCAGAGCTGCCTGTGGGCACCCTCATAGGTACCCCACCCCCACTCTGGGACTTGCAGTGCAGAAGGTAAAGCGATGCCCAGTTGCACATTAGCAAGTGGTAAAGCCACAGCTGGAGGCCCAGCCTAGAACTCCAGCACCATTCACAGGGCACTGCCACATCTTCAAAACAAGCCTTGTCATGGGCCATATGCTCCTTATCAATGTCCCAGTCAGAAGGGATCGAGCTGCAAGTCATTCATGGAAGTAGAATACTAATGCCATGCCCCTCCCCTAGGCACAGTGAATCCAGTGAGAAAAGTGACCCTTAGGAAGGGATTGTGAGGAGCTTGGGCAGTGATAGCTGGCTCATAACAGGCATTTCTTGAAGCCCATGTGACTGGCAGGCCCTCAACTCTCCCACCCAGGGTCCCATAGCCTATTGGCTCAGAGCATTGTGATCACTTCACCTGCTGCCACTGTCTCCCCTTCTCTCTCTTTCATTGCACAGCTGGGACACAGCCGGGCAGGAGAAGTTCAAGTGCATCGCATCTGCCTACTATCGGGGTGCCCAGGGTGAGCAGTGTGCGATGGGCCTCACCCACATCCCTGCTGGACTCCACCTCAAAAAGCCCGGCTCCTCTGCAGAGGCACCAGTTTTCTGTCCTCCAGGACCCACTGAGAAAACACCACCAGTCCACTGCCTGGGAATGGGGAAGCTGCCTTCACCCCAGGGCCTTTGGCTAGCTTTGGCAATCACACCCTTTAGGGACCCTGTGGTGTAGGTGCCAGCTTTAAATCTCAGTCTCAGTCTTTAGCTCAGAAAGATGCTTAGAGAGGGAAATCTTGTCCAGAGGCCCAAAGAAGAGCAGCATCAGACTTCAGGGGAGGTGGGGAGAGGCTGTCCTATCTTAGGAAAGGGCTGGGCCAGAGAGGAGGAGTAGGAGGGACACGATGGGAGGACTAGCAGGTCCTGGGGGGCCAAGGACAGCCTGGGAACTTGGCAGGGCTCATGGTCAGTAGGAGGCAGCAGCAGAGGCTCCCCATGGGACCCCAGGAAGAGACAGAAATTGACTTCAGTGGGAGATGTGAGGGAACTGTCAAAAGTATCCAAAACCAGACTCAAGTCACAACGCACCATTATGTCTACTTTGTGGTGGTGAAAAATTACATTTTCATTAAGGTTTGAAAGAAGCAAAACCAGGAAACAAACCATGAATGCGTCAATGCTGATCACGTTGCCTCCTGCACCTTTTGCTTCTCGGGCCTCTCTTCTCAAGGGGATACCTCCCCCTGGGAATAAGAGGTCTGCCTGGCACATCTCTGCACACAGCTGCCTGGCCACCATCACGCCTGTCCTCAGTTTCCTCCTTGCCTTCCCTCACCCTCTGCCCTGGGAGGAGGCGAGGGCTCTCCTGCTGCCTTTGGCTAAGGTGTGGAGGAAGCCCCAGTCCATCCCTGCTGACACCTCAGAGAGCACAGAGGCAGGCACTTTCTGAGACGCCCTCCCCGCGAGGCTCCCCTCGTCACCCTAACAGGGTTCTGGCCACCCTCAACACCACATGACAGGGCAGGGCCAGTGCCAGAGGAGCTTAGATGTAGAAAGGGCTGCATCTCCTGGCTTTCTGCCCAGCTGGCTCCCAGAAACTGTTTCCCTAAGGCTAGTTGTTGCTACTCGTCATCCTGGCCATAGCTGTCACTGGGTGAAAGTCGGCCTTTGTCAGGCCCCGGACAAATAGCCTTCCGAAATGGCTGCTCTTGTTTAATCCTCCCAGCAACGCGGCGAAATAGAAGTATCGTTTTCCTCAGATGGGGAAACCGAGGCTCTCAGCAGTTGAGGCCCTCATCTGAGCTCCCTTACTATAAGTGGCAGAGGGTCTCTGTCACCAAAGCCCATGTGCTCCACACCTGCCTCGTCCTACTCCCCAGATCCCACCCTGAGGATTTGCTGCCAAGGGCAGGACAAGGAGGGCAGTGGGACAGTGGATCCCAGGGCAGCCATGGGTGTCTCTTCCCCGGCCTTCATCATGGAGTCTGGGGCTGAGTGCCTGGGTAGGCTGCCCAGCAGTTCCTTGGGAACTGGGCTTCTCCTGAGGAGCCAGGAGATGCCCAGGGGGAGCCCCTTTTGTCACACTGTTTGCCTTACCTGTTGCTGCTGGTTTTTTCCATGTGTCCAGTGATCATCACTGCCTTTGACCTCACCGACGTGCAGACCCTGGAGCACACCAGGCAAGTCTGGGCTTGGCGGCCCCTATGGTCCCCCTGGGTACAGGAAGCTCCTGGCAGGGCTTCCAAACCTGGGCTAGTGGGCTGAACCCCTATCCCCACAGTGGGGGTAAGTGACCAGACTCACTTCTCAAAACCAACTGTCCACAGACCACATCTTGTCCATTTGCCTCATTATCCCTCAGGCTGTGTCCCCAGCTGCCTCCGGGTTGAGGCCCGCACAGCCACACCCAGAAGGACCAGCATCTGCTTTAGTACTCTGCTATCACCGTCTTGCAAGTCCTAGTACTTTTTTTCACTTTACATTGGACCCTGAATGTTGTACAGCCAGTCTTGTCTGAAGGGACATGGATTTGGCAACTGTTGTCTTGGGCAGAGAGAACTGGCAAGGGGATGGATTCCGGGAAGCCATCCTGCTTCTGTCAGGATTCGTCCAGCTAGTATACCAAAGCCCTTTCACCTTCCCTGTTTCTGTGGCATTCACATCCAGTGTCTCCCGAACCTGCTTCAGTTGATAAAAGTGCAGGACTCACTGGGTGGGGGCAGAGCCAGGGTTAGGACAGGGTCCTCACCTTCCCTAGCCAGTGTCCTTGTATTCCCACCCCCTGGGGTCCACCAAGGCCCTTCTGGTTTCAGGACCAGCATCCTGCTCAGCCTGCAGGGGCCAAGGGGTCCTAGGGAGGATCTGAGAGCTTTCCCCATCTCCTGTTCTGGGTGGTGGCTAGGTGGTGTCACTCAGCCTGTCTCCCCTCTGCATTCCAGGCAGTGGCTGGAAGATGCACTGAGGGAGAACGAGGCAGGCTCCTGCTTTATCTTCCTCGTGGGAACCAAGAAGGACCTTCTGGTGAGCAGACTGGTGCTTGAGGCTGGTGTCCCTTGGGAAAATGCCTCCCCTTTCAGCTCATATCAGAGGGGAGAGAGGAAAAAGGAGGGAGGTGTCACAGTGGGAAGCAGACAGCTGTCTACCCCCAGGGGCTTCCCTGCAGCCAGGCCAGGATACTGCTTCAGCAAAGGCACTTCTCTCAGTCAGGGGCAGCATGTGAACAGGCAGAAGCAGAGGCCGTGCACCTGGCCAATGAAATGCAAGCTGAGTACTGGTCAGTGTCAGCCAAGACCGGTGAGTGGGGCCCAGACTGTTGCCTGGTGGAGCCAGAACACTGTTTTTGGGCAGGTCCTGCAGGGGCCGCATGCAGCTGTTACCTCTGCATCCATCTTTTCCTTCTGCGGCCGTGGCATGTACTGGTATCACAGCCCTGCCACTGTACTGGTGACTGGTGGTATCTTCTGTTGCCTGAGGTGTCTCTTCTAGGAGGAATAGTGACCTCAGCTTTATGCCATGCCAAGCTGGCACATTCTCTGAGGCAACCACCACAATCACCTGTGAAGCAGGTTCCATTTTATTCATGTGAAGTCAATTCCAGGGCCTCAGGGTGGCAGAGCCTGCATCCAAACACAGTCCTCACCTGTAACCACTGTTCTGTCCTGCCTCCAGCCCTCAGATGTTAGGTGTGTGGCACTGCCTGGCACGTTGACGGGCCCAGTGATAGGGGCTCCCAACCCTTTCCAGTATCATTGTGGCTCACAGCCCTCCAGTTCTCACCTGACCTGCTCCCCACCCAGTCTGGCCCCAGCCCCAGGCAGATGCCCATCTCCAAGCCTCAGTCTCCTCATCTGAAAAGCAGGTAATTCTGCCCATCTCATTTTGTTGTTAATGAAAATATATGTGTTTTGTTTTTTTTTTGCCATGGTCTCATTTTCGCCCATGCTGAAGTACAGTGGAACCATCACTACTCACCACACCCTCAAACTCCTGGGCTCAAGCGATTCTCCCTCTTCAGCCTCCCAAGTAGCTGAGACTACAAGTGCATGCCATCATTCCCGGCTAATTTTTTGATATTTTTTGAAGAGACGAGGCTGTTCTTGAATTCCTGGACTTAAGCAATTCTCCCACTTCAGCCTCCCAAAGTGCTAGGACTACAGGTGTGAGCTTCTACACCCAGCTGGAAAAAAAACATGTTTTAAATTTTAAAAAGCCATATATATTCCTGAGGAAAAATTAGAAAATGCAGAGACACAGAGGGCAGTTGCTGAAAACACAGGTTGTCAGGGAATGAATGAAATGATGTGCAGTGCCTGGCACACGGTAGGCCTCAAGGTTCTGGGGACTCAAGAATTGGGACCAGCAGTCCGTGCCCTGGGCAAGGGCCAATAGCGGACATCTGGCCAGAGACTGGGTGAGCACTGAGGGTTGGTGCCACAGTGGAAGACCACCTCCAGCCCAGCAGAAACACCTGGCAGTGCCATGCCTGGTGCCCTTGGCTGCTCCTTCCCAACAGTGTCCCTCCTATCCTTTGAGACCTGCCTCCTTTATCAGAGTAACACTTCACTGAGTGCTCACTATGAGCCAAGCAGGACCACCCTGAGAAGTTGTGCAGATTGCTAGCTGCACAAGGGCAGTGTGCATGTGGGGGACTGGAACCAACCTGATTCCTGTTGGATAGCCACCTCCACCTGGAGAGGAATGCACAAAAGCTCCATATGTGTACTGGCAGCACATTAATACTTACAGCCCCATTGGACAGGTATGGAAAGTGACAAGAGAGTGGGCACACATCTGTCCTGAGCTCTGCATGTCCCAGCACAAGGACCATAGCAGGTGCTCAGTTGAAACTGGTTGGAAGAGTAGATGCTGGGAAGCAACAGTCTGGGCAGGCAGTGGGGTAGAGGAGGCTGGAGCTGGTGGGAAGCCAGGCCAGTGGGCCCTGCCTGTAGCACTGTACTGCCCACGCAGGTTGATGGGGCTGCGCCTCCCTATGGTCACTGTTACTGTCATGGTTGCTCTAGAAGGGGCCATAGGGCAGCCTCAGAATGGGCCACCTGGCTTCTGCCCCCAAATGTGTCCAGAGTGAGGGCATAGGTGGTCAGGGTCACAGCTGTCTTGTGGACCCACAGGGGAGAATGTGAAGGCATTCTTCAGCCGTGTAGCTGCCCTGGCATTCGAGCAATCCATTCTGCAGGACTTGGAGAGGAGGAACAGTGCCCGGCTCCAGGTCGGCGATGGAAACCTCATCCGTGCGTACAAGCATGGCTGGGTCAGGCTGGGGAGCAGGCTCAAGACTAAAATCCATATCCACCATTCTCCTGTCACCTGAGTCCTGCCATTTTCTTAACTGGTGGCCCTCTGCTGTCCCTTGATCCTCTTCTCTGGGTGTCACCCCAGCCTTAGGCCTGCAGTTTCCCTGACCCCACCTGCCAGTTCAGACATCTTCCCTAGCCTTCCTTGTCTTCCTGACACATGGACCACATGGGACAGGCTGGGTATCCTGGGCTCTGCAGATATGCCCTGACTTCAGCTCTCCTAGTCTGTACCTTTGCCCATTCTGTTCCCCTACCTGAAATGCCCCAGGTCTCTCAGCCTGTGCCAAGTTATCAGGCCTTGAATGACAGACCTAGGAGCTCAAGCTCACAGCTCTGGCTGCAGGCTTGGGAAGGTTCTTGCCCAGAGTCAGCTGTAGGATGCCTGACTGATGCCAAGTTACTCCTTCCCTCCTTTCAGGAATGGCAAGTCCGCCTGAGACTCAAGAGAACAAGATGCCCTCCAGCCTGGGCTGCTGTTAGCCTGAGTCAGAGGCCTCTGTTCCCTGCACCCGCATGGCATCACCTTCCATGACTGTCGAGGTATGACCTGGAGCCCAAGCTCTGCAGTCTGCTGCCCTCACTGTGGAGTCCTGTGTTCCGGTCTCTTCACCCACTCACCATGCTGAGCCCCAGGGTCCAGCTACTTCTCTTTGGTAGGTCGGGAGCCAGGAAAGGCCTCCACTGGCTGCCCCACATTGCCTGAAGGCCAGTCCCACCTGCAGGATTGTCAGACAGTCGCCCTTGACTTTGGGATGCCTCAGGACTGCACCCTTGGGACACTCACCCCTCGCCCATGGCCTGCATCGGCATTCAGCCTTGACACTCTCTCCCAGAGATCCTGGATGTGGCCTCAGGATCCTTCTCATCACAGCATGCCAGGCAACCTGGGCTTATCAAAGTCGGCACCCTGGGAAGATCCCACCTGCCATCCCCCTGCCCCAGGTGTTTCCTGTTGTCAGAAGACTTGCAGTTCTGGGATTTGGAGCTCCGGGCCTCACTGTCCACTGTCCCTCTGCCACAGACCCTCGGGGTCCTTGGGCAGACCTGCCCCTCTTTGGAGAACAATGGGCAGGATGGTCTCTGGGGCCACTTCTGGCTGAAGGACTCTCTCTGGCACCTCCGAAATCCTGGGTCCTGCCCTCCCAGTTTGTGGGCAAGGTTGAGCAGAACAAGCCCCTCAGGCCTCTCTGGCCATCTGGACAGGGATTTGCCTGGCCACGCCGTGGGAAGAAGGCTGCACAGCTGCAAGGGTAACTCCCTCTGAAGCCTTGAGTGGCACTGCCCTGCTCTGGCACTCGTGCCAGGCCCATGCCCCTGATTCCTCCTCATGCCTCTCTCACTGGCCCTCGTGTCTCTTAGGACCTTTGTAATGGCATCCACACATCTGTGAAGGACTTCAGAAGCCCTCCAAAGTCCCCGCCACTTCTTCCTGAACACACACAGTAGGCAGGAACACCCCACACCTCCTCTGCCCTCTGTCTGGAGTGCTTGTTCATGAAGTCTTCTCATTGCATGAACCAGCCCATTTGCCCCACACTCCTGTCGCCCTGGCTGTGCCCACTCATCTCACCCACCTCATGCCACAGGTTGGTGGGCACACCAGACACACCCATCTGCACCCTGTGGATGGTGAGCACTTTACAGGTACATGTTGGTCAGTGCTGATCTCCTAGTGCCTGGCATACCACAGGGGCTGCATAAATGTTCATCAACTCAGCAATCACCAAATATCAGTTAGGGAAGAACACTGGCATCCTTTTCTGTTCATTCCCCCTTCACTATATTTTTAGCTCTTTTATTTTTACATATATACAACACTTCTCTATATAAATCACATTTAAAGAAGTTCCATGCTTAATGTAGAACAAAACAGCGCAAAGCATATAAAATACAAAGTGGGAGCCCCACTCCCTTAGGCCACAATTCCAAAGTATGCTTTGCTAGCAGTTGGGAGGATTCTTTCCAGACCACTCACCCTGACCACACAGCTGCCACTTTGTTGGCTTGTTTCGCCAGAGTGACCTCACCCCGCACACACTGCCCAGCAGCCCACCTTCCTGGTGACCTGCCTGAGCCCCCTCCCTGTGGTGCATGTGAAGCCACCTCCTTCCTTCAGCAGCACCCAGTTCTCGTGCAGAGGGACTGGAGTTCATCTGACCTGCCCCATCCACGAGTCATCCAAGTTGTGACCAGCCTGTAGCATTCCCCAATGATGCTACAGTGATCATCCTTGTAGTCAGAGCTTTGCACTCAGAATTCCCAAATGAGGCCTTGCTGGGCCCTTCTCTGGGCTGCAGCCCCCGGTCTGGTCCACAAGACGCAACCTCTGGGCGACAGCATTGTGGTATATAAGTGAGGACTGGGTTTGCTGGGCGTAACAGAAAGTTTTACAGGTTGGGGGAGTCTGTCACAGTGGGCTGGTGCTCTCCATGGCCCCCTCTCTTGCCCCTTCAGGTCCCAGGATGGGGATGTAATATGGTGTCCTGCTGTTACCTGCTCCCAAACTAGAGCCATGCTGGCTTGTGCACCCCATGCCTCTGTACACGGGCCTTTATGAATAAACTCTCCTCATGTTTCCACAGTGCCATACCAGTTGGTTCCTGCGGTTCCTGGCTGGCAGAGTATGACCTCTCCAATTTTGGTATTTGGTCTGGGGCAGGGGAGAGGGGACAGGACTAAGCTTTCCAGGGAAATGCAAGGGGCACAGTTGTCCCTGGCCCTGCTCTAAGTGATACTACATCTTCTCTGTCAGTGTGGCTTGTGCTCCCTCACTTTGATGTGACAAGTCAACAGAGACATCAACTTCATTATCAACATTTAGCAATGAGTTTCTGAGGCAGAGGCACTTTCTGTTGGTCTTGTCCTGCAGGCCCAGGCAAGCAGCCCCCTGCAGCCAAGGCACAATGAGTGACCACAGTGACTATGTCCAAGTGCTTTAGAAGCATCTTTTCCGTCCTTCTTGTTTCCCCTGGCCCCTTCCCTGCTCTTCATCAGTCTGTCCATCCTTCCATTCATCTGCATCTTCCACTGGAAACACCCTCCTCTCCTGTCACTTCCTGGCTCCCTGGGGTCTACAGTACCAAGCCCACACTCTCACCCTGGCATTAGAGATTCCCTGCCACCCAACCTGGCCCCACTCATCCCTGCAGGCCCCCATACTCCAGCTTTCATTTCTGGTCACAACACAGTCTTTGCAGGTGCCAGACCTCTGTCTAGGGTGCTTTGCTCCTATTCTGTGCCCAACAGCTAGGACACCCCTGCTCCAGGAGGCTTTTATGGATGTCCCCACAACTCTCACAGAACTTACTGCCCTGGGTGTGACTGACCATGTCTGGGCTTTTTCCTCCACCCTTCTGTGGGGCCCCCAAAACCAGAGAAGTAACCTCATCACCTCTGCTATCTCCCCACCACCTCCAGGAGGAAGGGCCTATAGTAGGTTCTCAACAGATGTGTGAGGAAGGCAAGGAGGCAGGAAGGTTGCTCGAGCAAGATTCTCCGGGCAGACATATTGCACTCTGACCCAAGATGTCTACCACACGGACTATACACCTGCTTGGGAAACAGCCTGTGCCTGGCCTTCCTTGGTGGCTAGAAACAGTGCCTTATCATTCACTTGCAGACCCCAGAAGACCTGCCTGACCTGGAGACCCTCACAGGGCATCAGTTAGTGAAGGCTTTTTGGGGCCTGTGGGTGTGTTCTGGTCTTGGGAGGAGCTTGGTAAGAGTCGGCAACAGAAAATTCCAGGGGCAAGCTGAGCAGGCCTGGGGAAGGAGTCTCATGCCAAGCAGAGAGGTTCTAGGAACAGGAGAAATGAGATTTGGGATGTGTGGGTCAGGGGAGTGTTTGGGTTAGTTACTGCTGCATAACAAACCACCCCAAACCATTTATCCTTTCTCAGGATTGTGTGAATTGATTGGCTGTTTTCTGCTCCATGTTAGTGACTGGGGCACTGGGATGACTATCCCAGAGTCCAAAATGGCCTCACTCACATGGCCAAGAAGGAGTGTTCCCAGAGATAAGCTCTAATGTGTAAGTGTTGTCAAGCTTCTGTTGGCATCACGTTTGCTTCAATGGGACACTCTGACCCAACATCCCATAGGTCAAAGCCCAGAGTCAGTGTAGAAGGGGACTTCATACGGGGTGAATAACTGGAGACCTGATGCGTTGGGGACCGATCTAGGGAACTAAGGGAGAGGGAGAGAAGGCAGAAGGTTCTGTCCCTAGGTCTGCTCCCTCTCCATCCCGAGGGGAGGTGAGGGCTTTCCCCCCAGGCAACAGCTTCTTGCCCAGCCTCTACCAGTGAAACCCACATAGTGCTCCTCCAGGAAGCCCACTTTGGACTCCCAGCTGAGTCAGTCTCCTTTGATCCTGATCCCCGTCTCTTTTGAGGCATCACTGAAGTTCCAACTTCCCCCTTACTATTCTGTGGCCTTGGTGACCTGCCGTGTCACCACTGCATCCCCAGCACCTGTCCACCAAGTACCTGAATGAATGAGTGACTAGTCACCAGGTGCAACCTCACACAATGTCACTAACAACTGGTACATTGGGCTCCTGAGAGGGACAGTCTGGAGCTAGAGCCACTCTTGGCCCCAGCAGGTACCGCCATCAGCTAAATCCCACTTGCGGTGGAAGTCTGGCCCAGACTTCCCAAAAGCAGAGGTCGTCCGGGAGCAGACCTGGGGCATAGCAAGAACTGCCATTCAGAGAGCACTCCCTCTGTGCCAGCCCCACGCTCAGCAAAGTACTTGAGGGGAAACTCCTTTAACACAGTAGGGCTGTGGGCTGGTGTCATGACCCCTCATCCCTCACCTCACAAAAGGAGACCCAGGTACAGAGCTGAGCAGATGAGACACATCTGAGCATCTCCACTGCCTCCACATTACCAGCCCTCCTCTGCCTCTACCCCCCATCCCAGCCTGGGTCTGATCCTAGCGGGGCTCCTGCTGCAAGTGGCCACAGGACTCTATGTCCCTCACAGGCTTATCCCGCAGTCAGAGGTCCAAGTGTTCTGCTGCCCGTGGTCATAACTCTGAAAAGGAGCTTATTTGCATGGCTCAACCATGTCCAGCCCACCCAGCGTTCCCCACTCCCTGTACCCCACATTGTCGGTCCTCTTAGTGGTGATGCAGGCTCCTCAGGGGCCAGAGCAGGGTGTCCCCTCTCAGCCTCCTGCAACCTTGTACCCTGAGTGCCTGCCTGCCTCGCCTTCCTCCCAGCCCTGCTGTGGGCCTCTGGAGTGAAGGAAAGGCCACCAGGATCCATTTAACTCACACTGCAGCCCTGGTGATGGGATTGGGGCCATTCTCAGATGAACATCTCTCTCTAGATAAACGCAGGACAACCTAGCCCAGGAGAGTTAAGGACACCTGTGATCCAGGTAACTGAACACAGAGGTGGACAAAGGAAAGGTTAAATCCACATGTTCACTCATTCACTAATTTTTTTTCCTTTTTTTTTTTTTTTTTTTTTGAGATGGGTTCTTACTGTCACCCAGGCTGCTGGAGTGCAGTGATGTGATCATAGCTCACTGTAACCTCAGACTCTTGGGTTCCATCCATCCTCCCACTTTGGCCTCCCAAGTAGTTCAGACTATAGGCATGAGCCACTGCACCAACTTCATTCACTGATTCTTTTTTTTTTTTTGAGTTAGAGTCTCACTCTGTTGCTGAGACTGGAGTGCAATGGCACACTCCTGGCCACCACAGCCTCCACCTGCAGGACTCTGGTGATCCTTCCGCCTCAGCCTTCCAAGTAGCCGGAACTACAGGCACGTGCTACCATGCCCAGCTTGCTTATTTATTTATTTATTTATTTATTTATTTATTTATTTATTTATTGTAGAGACAAGGTCTAACCAAGTTGCCCAGGTGGGTCTCGAACCTGGAGGCTCAGGCAATCTACTCACCTCAGCCTCCCAAAGTGCTGGGATTACAGACTGAGCCACTGAGCCCGGCCTTTATTTTTATATCTATATATTTTTTGAGTTGGAGTCTCACTCTGTCATCCAGGCTGGAGTGCAGTGGCATGCTCATGGTCACCGCAGCCTCGACCTGCTGGGCTCAGGCCATCCTTCCACCTCAGTCTTTCAAATAACTGGAACCATATGCACACACCACCACGCCTGGCTAATTTTTTGATTTATTGTAGAGACAAGGTCTCATCAAGTTGCCCAGGCTGAACCCCTGGACTCAGGCAATCCTCTTGCCTCAGCCTCCCAAAGTGCTGGGATTACAGACTTGAGCCACTGCACCCGGCCATTCACTGATTCTTACTTGTTCACACATTCAGCTTTCTTGGAGGCCTTTTCTGGCCTGGCTCTCTGCATTCTCCCATTTGCTCCTCTCACAGTCCACATAGCAGGTGCCAGAGCAGCCCCATTTCACCAATTCACAGGTGAACCAGGCTCCAAGGAACATAAGTCCTGGTGCCACACAGGTGCGGGTCAGACTGGGAATCCTGGAGGCAGTTCCCTTCAAATCTTGTAACCCTGGGCCCCTGGCAGGTAGACAAGGAATCCTGGGCCTGTAGGGAACTGTGGAGAGGATACAGCAACCAAGAGAGTCCAGGGCAGGAATGAGAGACGTCATGGGTGGGGAGAAAGGAGGGAGGGCTTTCAGAAAAAGATACACAAAGATAGAGTCTCCTCCTCTCCTGAGGGAGAAGTGGCTTCTGAAGACTGGGTGGGCCCTGGGTGCAACCCATCCCCCTGTAGACACCCACGGCTTCAGGCACTGCATGAAGTGAGACGCTTTCCCAGCAACTTCCAGGCTCCTCTGCCATCTGCTGTGGCCTCCCAATGTCACCTCCCATATGTCAGGCCTTCCCCTGAGGGAAGCTGATGGGCAGCCGCCATGTGTGACTGTCACACTGCCTCCTTCCAGGCAGTGCAGATACTTCCCGACCTCTTCCCCCTCCCCTGAGACTGCACCTCGGGGTAGCGGGGGCAGGGTGGTTTGGAGGGTAGCAGGCATAGAGCTCCTGCCCCTGGGCGACTGTCAGCAGACTCACCTGTCTTCTGGGATGCATGATGGGTGGTCTGGGAGGCAAAGCAGGCCCGGTCTCCCTACTGCCCCACAGGTGGTGGCACCCCCAGCTTAAGGGTGCCCTGGGGCCCTGACCACTGGAAGCCACAGCCTGGACCACCTCACTGGCCATACCTTTGGGGACAAGCTCATTTTTTCCCGGCCCCTTTGTTTCCTTTGAAGGCTGGAGACAGCAGATAGGACACTCTCCTGGGATCCCCAGCTGCAGGGGCCTCATCAATAATTGATTCTGCAGAAGGCAGGCAGGGTTAGAGCTGAGGAGGGACCCTGGCCTGGGAGGAAAGGCCCACACCCTCTTGCAGAATCCGTGGCCAGTGGCACCAACAAGGGCTCGTTTCTCACTCAGCTAAGCATCCCACGGATCCCACACACACTCTGGGCTGGGGGTAGGGCTAGAGAACAGCTGTATTGGTGGCCCAGTTTTCTGGTCTGGCCCCCTGTTCCCTGGGGCTGGCAGATGACAGATGATAGGTGACAGATGAAGGCTGGGAGTCACATGGCTACATCCTGCTTGAAGGGAGCCCTCGTCCAGCCTCCAGA